GACGTCAGGATCATCGACTTATACAGTATGTCGCTAATGTATGGAATAAATTCATTATTTCTAAAATAATCGACTTTTGAAAAAAATCCAAAAACAGGTCAATTTTAATTTTTGAATCGTCATCACATGATGTAGATGTAACGAACATTACGTCACCAGTATTACCGTGGTGACGTAATCGGTAATTTTTTTAAATGCAACCATGTGTCTCAAAACACCTCATTGGAAAGGTCTTCTAATCGTCTTTACAACGATGTAATTATTTGAATATTTATTTCTACAGGGTCGACCAAAACAGTTTTGTGAATTATCTTTTTCGTCATTTAAATTTAAAAATCTGTCAAAATTATTAACTTTAGGTATTGGAAACAGATTTGTTTTTAATTAAAAAAAAATCGGTTCGTCGGCAATTGTTTCTTTTGCAAGATACAGTTCATTGAACTCAATACGATTTTTATATAAAACTGGTTACAGCGTGAGAAATACCATGTATAATACTATTTTGTGTTATTATAATGAGAAAAGCGAGAGAAATTAAAATATAAAATAAAATACAGGGTTCCATTTAAAACCAATTTTGATATGTATCATTTTCCTGGAGAATAATGTATAATTAAAATTATTTTTAAATTGTTGCCTTTTCTGGTATACATCTCGCTAATTTTTAAAAAAAAATTAAATAGTTTTGGCTCTACACACCGGGCTGTTATCGGTGACCCATGCTGTATATTATATCACTCGGAAACCACACCAAACGTGTTAAATAAAAGAAGAGTGCCGAAAGTACTACCGAAACGACCACGTCAAAATTTTCAAAGAAATGAGATATCGACGGCTCATCTTAATCCGTCAGCTGACAGACATGCCCATCATTCTCGGTGTCGTGGCCGCATCTTTTTTCCTTGTACAAAACTCGTAACTTGGTCCCATATAGGAGCATAAACATTTACAATATGGTCTGTGATATACTAGCATAATAGTACACTACCATATAAATACTTTCAAGTTCTGTTAAAGGTTTGCTTAGATTTGTTTTCTGATTTTTATCCTAGAAATGCAACAAGAATAAAATCACGTGATAACTATAAATTGTAGAGAAATTTGAAATTACCTTTGATTTATAGTATTTTAAAAGTGACATACTATTTTCTATGATTTAAAAAAAAAACAAGTATTTCTACTATTTAACTAGAGATAACAGAGATATAACCATTCATTGATAAAATATAATATTCATGATGTTAAGATTAATTCGACAATCCATAACCTCTATTTATGGTCCGCGGTGAGGTGACGAATGGTGAGAAGTAAGAGAGGGGATAAAGATAAGCATTTTACTCACATACAACTTTTTTTATCAATGAATAAATGTGTAAGACGCTGTGCGCTTATAATAAACATCGTTAACATCCATGCCGGTGTAAGCCCTGTTGCCACTTCCAACCTAACATGACTAGGTTTTAGAATTTACTGAAAAATATAACATCTTAATTTAGTGAAATTACATCTAATTTAATTAAATTTGATATAACTAATGATCCAAAAAAATGTCGGTTCATTTTCAATAAAATAGGTTGAATTATTTTAGCTTTTTTAATATATGTAAATAATTTTGTAAACAAAACGAGAAAAATGAAATAGGTACGTGACAACAGTGGATATTATACCCTCCTGTGTCCCTTAGAATATGTCTTATTGTTGGTAGTTACATCGCCTGTTATATCTGCATTTAACTCACGATTTCACACGTTCAATTTGAATATAGAACTATTAATAGATGCTAGGCCCAATTTCCCCCACCGAAAATTCGGCCAGGAGCCTCCCTGGTTCAAAATCGCCATTACAGTGGCGGATGTAATGACCTTTTCTAAATAACGAAAAATTAACATTGTGTCTAAAAGGATTTAACGTCATCGCCTCCAAAAATGCGACACCGATTATTGTCAAACATCTTAAGATTCTTTCTACATTTACAATTTCTGTAACAACTGTAGAAAAAAGTCTCTACTCTCAGGCTTTTAAAAAGATGACCACATTTTAAAACTTGCTCAAGATCCATATTAGAAGAAAGACCGCCTTAACGGTTTAGCTTTATTATGTCTATATTTAGATACAGACAAAATCCTTAATCGATTTTCAAATAAAAAGACAAGACAAGCATAAGAAAGAAAACACAAAAATCCGTACCACACAACAAAATTTTATTAAAAAAAAAATAGGCAACCTGTTTTGGCATAGAAGCCAGAAACCTAAAATATGATAAATAGTAGAGTACAAAATATAAGAGAATGATACTGATCATCAAAACAGTAACTAATCATTATGATATGACAATTAGGATGGATTGAAAAAATTAAAGTTAAAATTTTAATTTGCTATAGCATTTAAAAGCTGCGTTTCATTATAAAAACTGCTTGAAATGTTTTCATAAATTTAAAATTATATTTTCAGCCCTCTACCAGCCCCCAAAATAGCTAAAAATGTAAAAGTTTAATTAGCTATACTCATAAAAAGCTGTGTTTAAGCATATACACTGATTATTTTTTTCGAAATTTTAGAAATACGTATTAAGCCCTCTACCACCCCTTAGAAAATTTATATAGACAAAGAAATCCCGATTTTTAGTAGAGACTTTAATTTACACTCTTTTTAACATCCCACTCCCACCCTTACATAAAAATAGTACCTACTTTTTAAACATTGTATCTTCTCAACATCAAATCACCTAAAACTGTAATCTATTTAAATAGGTAAAAACAAGACCTATTAATTGCAAGATTTAACACGTTTTCGGGGTTTAATACATCCGCATTTACTTCACTGCCACTTTTTATTAACACAAGTTTATCATACTTATCGTTGGTAATTCTGTACAAATTTTATTACTCAACGATAGTTTTTATTCGATTAATAAAAATTTGAAACTGTTCTTGCATTTAAGTCCCTTTTCAGGAACAAGGATATAAAAAAATATTGAATTTACTTGATGAGACAGTCTCCTAAAAAATGTTGTAAATATGCACCTCGGCCGTATGATTATTTTTGGTCCCAACCAGAAGTTGCTTGGCCTCCATTACGCCTAGGTTGCACATTTCTGATTCTGCCAAAAAAAAAAGATCAACTTTACGGCCTTGGTACACAAATAGTCATTATGTACAAAGGCCGTAAAGTTGATTTTTTTAAAAAAGACATTTGAAGCCGAGGCGTAGCCGAATCCCAGCAACTTTTGGTGGGGCCAGAAAAGATAATGTGGCCGAGGTGGGTGTATCAAATATAAACGGGACTGATTTATCAGTGACCTTCAATAAGTTGACGCGCAGATATCCAGTACCGTCCGGGAGGTAGAAGAACGGGCCGCGATTGGCTAGAGTCCATTTAGTATGAAAAGAAACTATGAGCGAGAAAGATTTACATATCTTCGTGGAGCAACGCATTATCAAGTTTTTGGCCAAGAAGGGGGCGAATCCAACTGAAATTTTTGCGTGATAAGGTTGATAAGGAGAGTCATGTTCGCCGCTCAAGAACGATTGTAATCAAAGCCAACATTGAGGCAGTGCGAAATTTCATGGAGAGAAATCAGCGCATAAATGTCTGGAAAAATGTTAAGGAACTGAACATCAGTTACAGGGGTGCCTTCCAGATTGTGGCAGGTGCCATGGAAATAAGCAAGGTGTCTGCTAGATGGGTTCCCCGTCTGTTATCGGACGATCACAAGCAACATCGACTAGAGATTTTGCGGCAACACTTTAATCGATTTCGGCAAGAATATGAAGCCTTTTTGAATCGCATCACATGTGACGAAGCTTGGGTGTATCACTACACGCCCGAGTCGAAACAGTCGAGTATGGAATGGAGGAAAAGAAAGAAGTAAAGTGTCATTCTTTTGCATGACAACGGCAGGCCTCATACCGACAATACAACAAGGCAAACATTGAATGTATTAGAATTGAAAAAGCTGGAACATCCATAATACCGTCCCTAATTATCTCCTTCTGACTTCCATCTTTTTGGATCCCTCAAAGAAGTAACTTTTATTTGAAGAATTTTCTTCTCCAAACGTAAATAACAGATATATTCCATAAAATATAAAAATGACCACCTATAAAGTACCCCCCAGATGTTCCGACTCTGCCCAAAATCTAATCAGTTCATTGGACGCTGTAATAAAGCTTTAAAATTTGGTGTTTTTCTGTGTATCGGTTCATGAGTTATTACACACACACATTATCTTCATCATCGCGGATTCAGGGAACTTCAAAACGTAAAAATCCGTCGAAAACTCGATGTCGAAAAAAATCATGATTCCTATACTTTCCTTATATCTGTATACAGATAGGAAAGTAGAAAAGCTTCTGTAAGAAATTATTGAATAATTTCACTTAAAACGACTGATTTCAAATTCCAAATGAAAATTTTATTAGCAGAGCTAATTTGCCAAATAACTCTTTAATACTGTGTGTCGAACAACTCAAAAGACATTGAAATATCGGTCGATAATAACGATGGTTTTCTACGAATTAGAACCTTAAACACCATGGGCGTGCGGAATTTCTTTTACACTTCCAATCCGATATGGAAAAATTATTTCTAAGGCGGGAGACTATGTAGAAAAATAATATATATCTCGTAGCTTAATTAAATCAATTTATAAATTTGTAGAAATCAAATCCCGTATATATTTGATATACCCTAGTAACATATTTTAGGCGATTGTCTCATCAAGTATATATAGAATAATTTTAAATTTTTGTTGACCGTATAAAAAACCTATTGTTATATTTTAATAGCAATTTGCTTTTAAATGACTAATTAAACGAATAAATTAAGGTTTTCCTAGAAAATTAAAGACCTTTGTTGGTTGTTCCTAAGTAAATAGGATTACAAATTCCGATGTATGAATTTTACTACGTAAAACAATAAATTTTAAATTAAATATCACATATACTTTTTACATTTTACTAGAATATAATATTTTATTCAGTTTCTACTTTTCTTTTCAGTTTCCTGAAAGCCCTCAGGCCCTACCCGAGCCAAAATTAACCTTGTCGCATCACGAAAACAACGAGCTTTCCCCGTATGCGGAACTAGTAGAACCTCTCAAAAGCGAGATAACGAGTCTCAAACAACAACTTCACGAAGCTCACACCAGATTGGCCCATATGGCTTTATCAAAAATCGAAGAGACTGGAGACGAAGAAACCATTACGACGACAAGTAAGTTATATAATATTACTATATAAAAAGAAAGTGTATAATATACTTTTTTGAACCTGGATCAGCTATGAAAGTCAAATATTGTCCAAATTGTATATAGTCCAGTGTTCGTGATTTTTCGCTCTGATTTTTTTTTTGTTTCTTGTCTCTTAATACTCGAATTTATTAGATTTAAAAACAGCCCATGTCCCATTTTAATAATTTTAACTGTTTTAGATAGCAAAAATATTGAATCGCCAGAATCTCACATGGAACTAGACTGTGAACCAAGAATGTACCAAGAAGAAAAGTTCGATATAAAATTCAGTAATATCGTGCCCATCCATAGAGCCAACGTCCGTAACCATAGTTATTCCTCGGCCCCCGTAACCAAAGTTGCGGAAAGAATAAAACTGAAGAGGGCCACAGATCAGCGAAACATAAATCCGAACGATTTATTAAATTCTGATCTGTCGACAGCCGTCGCTGAGCATATTGTAGGTGATATTTTGAAGCAATGCGATATTCAAGCGGAGAAACAGGGTTTGGATATTGAAATTAGAAAAATAAACGCGAAATTGGAGAATTCTAGGTCGCAGAATTCCGTATTGGCATTGACGTTATCAGAAACGAAAGCACATTGTGATAGGTTTGTATTAATTTCTTTACTTTATTTAAATCGTATCAATAATCTACAGTCACAATTCGGATGTATTTTTTACTTTAAATAACTTCAAAATAAATGTGTTTTTCAATTCAAGTTCTAAATAAAAATGTCACAGATAATCTTGGCATCACTCTAGAAAAGTTTGGACAAACTAAACTCATTTTAGTTCATAATGTAAAACGAACTTACAATAGTAAATCTTTCATTGGGTTTGTGCCATTATTTTATATTTCTGTATGCCCTAATACTCTAATCAAAATAATTATCGCATATTTTGTTTTTTTTTATATATTTCCGAATTTACCTAATTTACTACTAAATTTAAAATCTAGATTTTACCTGTGTTCAATATTCTAGTTATTAACATATTCTGCACACTTCGATATTTAATAAACATCTACTACTACAAGTTATTTGTTTTGTTTATATTTCCTTATCTGTTAAAGAAACAAATTGTTATGCTACAAATTCCTTTACAGTAAATCCTTTGAATGTGCATACAAATTTTAACTTTATACTTGATATATCGATTAAAAGTGTTTGGATAATTTCGACAAAATACCCTGTGAATAATATATTATTTACTAGATGTATCTTATCGTGTGAATATTTTTTGTAGATTGGCCTTATTGTGTGGTAAATACGAGTCGAATGCCATAGCCCTCCAGTTGGCGTTGGGTATAAGCGATAGAATAATAGAAGCGTACGATGTTCTTTTGGCCTTACTCGAAACCGAGTTGAGTCTGAAGGAGGACGATTCGGAAACGTTGCAGAATAGGAGCGAAGCGGAAGCTGTAGCCAAACAATTGTTGCATCATTTGGATTCATTTCATAGCACCGACATATTGCTATCGCCTTGGCAGAATCATTCGTACAATAGTTCCACTATTGACAGGTAAGTTACTATTTGTTACATTATTATAGAAATAACACCTAATATTATGAATTGAACTATAAAACAAATCAAGCTTTCAACTTACTGATTCATAATTATTACACATGGTGTATATAGGAGATTTTAAGAGAACATTTGTTCTGGGTGTATTCAAGTAAAATGTACGGGTGTTCCTGGAAGCTATTCAAGGAACTGTAAAATTAAGACTATGAATCAAATATGAAAAATCAATTTTAAAATGAACTGTCTTAAATAGCAATACCACAGAATAATATGTGCATCTTGTATCAAGACTCCAAAATGTATGTCTAAGTGGCAGTTCATGATGAGGTGTACCTATAGGGGGATAAACTTCATCTTGTTTAAAACTTAAGTTTTAATAATCTCCGTTGGACTGCTTCAATTTAATCAATATGTAACTGATAGAATGGGCTCCACACAACTGAGACATATTCAAGTTTAGATCTGACAAATGAATAATACAATAATTTTAGTGTCTTCGGTTCCTTAAAATCACGACTGTTTTATATGATCAAGCCGATCGAACGCTTTGGAAAAGTCGGTGTATATTACATTCGTCTGGATTCTCTTGTTGATATTTTCTGCCATGTACTGTATTACAGCTATAAGATTGGTAACGGTGGAACGGCCTTTCATGAATCCATGTTGTTTTGTTGATATCATAATACTGACGTGATAATAAATCTTGTTGTGAAGTAATAATAATAATCTTTATTCAGCATTATGGTGTACATAGATATACATTATAAATACACTTTTATTATTACAATAATTATTTATAAAAGGGATGTAGATAACCTGGTAGTCTATTTATGACCTAACGGTTGCCCATAGGTTGCCGAATTATTTACTTTTACTATGCATTATTTAAATATATAGTTCATTGATGTTAATGTATTGAATCAAAAAAATTAAAAATAGATAGAATATAATGTGACTTAAATAATTACAAAAATTAATATGAACTCATTAGGTTCTTTTATAATATATGACTCTTCATATAAAAATAACAATTTTTTTTCTTTTTTTTTTTTAGTAAAATGTTAGAAAATATATATAAAATGTTAATGAATACATAAAATGTTAAAAAATACATAAAATAGTTTTATCACAATCAATGTTCTCTAAAGTTTTTCTCTCTGCATTTACTTTATTGTCTTATTAAAGTTTTGATCAGTTGAAATGAGTTTATAGTAAGCAAATATATTTTGTACATTTCGGGAAGTAAATTAAATATTTTTCCACGTAAATATAAAAAAAATCTTTGTGAAGTTGACTTATTAACAAGGTGAGAGTATATACCGTTCCTGTATTTTTACCTCTTGTTTAATAGTTAAAGGTCTTTTTTTTTGTAAAATTTCTTTATGTTTGTAAGTGTACATTAAAACTGCATAAATATATAACTTTGACTTCATCATATAGTAAATTTGTTGGATACCTAATTTTTTTACTGTATATGATTTTAAGTACTTTTTTTGAAGTATTTCCAGTTTATTCAGATGATTTTTTGTGGTATCCCTACAGATAACGGAGTATTGAAGTCTGCTTTGAACAAGTGCGTAGTAAATAATTTTAAGATGAGTAACGCCTAATATATTTTTAAGGAATTTAAATTTGAAGAGCAACATTCTTAAGGTATTGGTTAGATTATTTACATGTTTATCCCATCGTAAGTGGCAATCTAGAGTAACACCTAAGTATTTAATTTTATTTTGTTTTTGTAAGGTAATTTCCTGATTGTTATAATTGATACTAATTTTATTATAATCTGGTAAGCTGTTACTAGAGCTTGCAAAAGGCAAAAAAATGACTTATTGTAGTTTATAGTAAGCTTTTTATGAGTGCACCAATCTATAATTTTTTTAAAGTCATTTTCTGTTTTATATTTTAATAGCCGTGTCATCAGCAAAGCTTACAATTAGGCCTGTAGTCTTTTGAATATACAATTCATTTACATATATTGAAAAAAGTACAGGACCAAGGACTGTCCCTTGTGGTACACCAGTTTTAATCAATTTGTTTTCGCTAAACTCATATATTACTTTAAATTGTTTATATCGGTTATTAACGTAGTCTTCGAAAAGCTTTAATGCCGTTCCCCGTATTCCTGCATCTTCCAAGGCCAGCAATAACTGTTCGTGATGTACAGTATCGAAGGCTTTGGCTAAATCCAGGAAAATAGTTAGGTTTGGTTTATTACTGTCCACCGACTGATAAACCCTTTTGGCCAACTCTAGAATTGCATCAGTTGTAGAAAATCCCTCTCGAAATCCACATTGTTTTGTAGAAATTATTTTATATTTATTAAAATATTCTTATGATCTTAAATTTAGTGCTTTCTCTACAACTTTTGCAAAATTGGTGATTAAAGATATTGATTTGTAACCATTGTCTTATTGCCCTTTTTAAATTTTGGTATCACTAACAATCTTTTTAGTTCAATGGGATATTCTCCTTGCAGTAATATTTTATTAATTAAATGAGTTAAGAGTGGAGTAAATATTTTTGTCCACGACCACTTAATAATAAATCAATATTCTACCTCCTAACTAAAAGCATATGGTACCCATATATCACTAGAGTGAATTATGATAATTCACGCTTTTGTAATTCTAGCAATTTCCGATAGATAACTAAAGATGAGCGATACTTTTCATAACGATAACCAGAATTTCGAAAAATGTTAGTTAGTTCTATGTTTAATAAAAACTTTCCATTCTATTCCATTTCCATTTTATTTAATAAAGAAACCATAATGGTGAATAATGCGTGAATAATGGCTACCATAAATTGCTCCTTTAATAATATACTATTAAATTCTCTTTTAATAATTCTGTTTGTTTATTATCTATTCCGGGCGATTTTTTGTTTGCTAGGGACTTTATATTATGTTTTTGATTTCAATATGTGCAATAGAACAATGGATTTTTTCTGAATATTTCTCCTAGGTTGAGGAGTGTTAGGAGGGCTTATATTTTCTGCAAGAGTTACACCTACTTTAGTAAAGTAGTTGTTAAACGTTTCAGCTAAATATTTCGCCTCTGTTACTATATGCCCATCATCAGTATGTATTTCTTTTATTTCATTGTTATTGTTTTTTGATTTGCTTTGTATTTGATTAATAATTTTCCATAGACCTTTTAAATTTTCTTTATTTTCATTTATTTATTTAGCATAAAAATCTTTTTTAGCTTTCCTTATAACCCTATCCGTTAATGTTCTATAATTTAAATATGCTTTTTTTTTCCTATATTTTCCAAATCTTTTTTATAAATATGATGAAGTTTGTTTCTTTCTGTAATTGAGTTAATGATACCCCTGGTTACCCATTGTTGCCTTTTACAAAAATTTTTGTTTTCTCTAATAACTTTGGTATTTTTATTTATATATACGTTTAATGTGTTTACTAAATAACTAACTTTTTTATTTAAATTATTTAAGCTATAAAAGTCTTCCCACCTGTGATTCTGAATTTTTTCTTGTCACTTTTTATAATTAATCTTCTTGAAAAATTACTTTTTTTCAGTTGTCTCAGGTTGTATTGGAAGATAAGCGATTGTAGTTTTGTGATCTGTTTTATTGGTATCATATGTGGCTGCTATAAATTTATTTAACGCATCAGACCTATAAAATATATGGTCTAAGCAACTTTTAGATGTTCCCTGTACTCTTGTATATTTGTTTATTAGCGATACGAAGTTATATTCATCTAATATATCTAAATATGTAGAAACTAGGTCAGTTTGTTGTTTAATATTTATATTAAAGTCTCCTAAAATCAAGTAACATTTCAAACCGAAATTATTAATAATTGAAATTGGACGATATTGTGCAATGTCTGATTTATCACCCTTTTTAAATACCGGGCAGACCTTAGAGCATTTCCAGATAGATGGAATAGAACAAAATTTGAGACAAATATTTAAGAGAACTTTTAAGGAATGGACAAGAATTGAAACGCAGTCTTTCAAAACAAAGGATGGAATATTATTTGGCCCCATAGTCATTTTATATCTATATTCTGTCTATATTAGGTTTATTCAAATGAATAACTTCTTTTAAAAATTTTTATAGATTTAAATTGTCGAAACAAATACTAGAGAGATCGGAGGGGGTATAACTTTGGTTTGTTATTCCCCTCGCTGTCTTTAAAATTTGTTTCGGAAATTTAAATCGAACATTTTCTCGATAATCCTCTTTTTCCTTATTTCCAATATAATTGTGCCAACGGTGTTTCCGTTACTATTAATAACCTGGACAAAACTAGGGATTTTATGTACGTGATTTGATGTACCTTCGAAGATGCTATATTCGCTCCGTGCATGACAGCAGCGCCAATTCATTTATATACTAATAGACTATTTTTGCTTATACTGACAATACAAGTTTTAATAAAATTCGTAATTAAAAAGTATATGGATTTGTAATACAAGTAAAACATTAATTTATTATTATTGTATATTTGTATCGTTAAACTAAAAAAAAAAAAATAAGTATAATCAATAAAAATCAATAATCAAATATAGACAAGCAACAGTATTTACGGAGAAATGTATGGGAAGTTGCCTAAGTCTAATAAGTTGTCTTTCAAGAATTAACCTATTCTGTCAAAATAAAAAAAAATACCATTAAATAATAGGAATAAGGAATATTATTTATATTTTCATTTTTGTTCGAAAGAAAACAGAATGAATGATTAAAAGTCCTTTCCTAGTAAGTCACAAAATTGCATTCCAGCCACATACAATATTCAAAGGCAGAAATCTAGTCCTTGCTGAACATTTAAGATTAAACGGATGTTAAAAAACATCGTAAAATGTTAATTTATTGTTTATTTAAAACCTTTCAAGTTTCTGTTGTCTACTATTTCCAGTATTACTGTTATTATTACAAAAACAAAGGTAATTTTTCTTCTTATTGTACACCTATCCATTTATTTCTTGTATTGTTCTTACCTATTTTTTTGAAAAAAATGTAAATGTATACGTGTATCTCATATGCCAAAATCACAAAATATCGAACAAAAATGCGCGAATTATCCTCAGCTAGCGCTAGTATCGCTTTTGCTTCCCCTACCATGACTTCGCACTGAGCGAATAGGTGATTATAGAATTATTGTTGAATTCAAAAAAGTTTGATAAACTGGTCTAGCGATCAGGACATTGAAACGGTAATGCACAGGTCGCGGATTCGAGCCCCATCAAACTGTCTATTTTTTTTTTGGTAATTTAAACCAGCAAATTGTTCTTGATTAACCTTTCAAAAATATTTTTGTTTGATTATTGTAATTACTGAGTTTGTACAATAGTTTTAAAAGCTATGGTTGCTTTTTAATTAACTTTGTTGATTATTCTCAAACATAATTTATCTTTCTTTTTAGCGATGAACCTTGGACTTCGGAACACGAAATGAGATTGAGGGAGCACGTTTCAAGGCTAAAAGCCGAAAGAAGCTGTATCCAAGGAACTTATGTTGTTTTGGAATCCACCCAACTTGAAAATGTACCTGTACGACCTTCCAGTAATCAAGAAGCTAGGAAAATGGACCTAGAGATGGCTGTATTGATGCAGGTAAATTCTATGATTAAATTAAAATAAACCTTATTTTGAAAGTTTAATTATTTTACACTTGTTACCTAACAATTCTGAATTTTAAGGAGCTGATGGGTTTACGAGAAGACAAGTCTGAACTTATTTCCAAATTATTCGGGTTAGAAAAAGAAAAATGTGCCATAGAATTAAAGCTGAAGTATTCTGAAGGTCAGCAGAAAGCTCAGTCAGCAACTCTAAAGAATCTTCAAGGACAGCTGAAGGACACTGAAGCTTTATTAGCAATAGCGACACAGAATAAGGTAAGGATAGATCCTTTACTCTATATATCTAGCGTAGGTAGCAAAGGAGTATAAGTCAAAAATTTAGAAGCTGAGTAAATCTATGTTATTACAAGTAGACTTATACTGATTTTCTCACCAAAAAAAGGTATTTTTGAAATTTATATTATAAAGTCCAAGTTCAATAGCGACCCTAGTAGAAGGTATTGATGACTGAAACTAATTTACCCAAAATTTTGACTTATACTCTTTTGCCCACATACGATAGATATTATTTTGACATTTCCATTTTTTTTTAATTAAACATTTTCTGTATAAGTTTTTGTGTTAAAAATGTAAACCTTTATATTCATTACAGTGCAAAATAATAGGCATTTCGTAACGTATTTCATGCAATATTTTTTCTAATTTTGACTTGAATATTATTTATAAAATTCTGTTTTGGTAAAAAATTACTGACAACTAGGCAACTAATATTACTACTTTCCTGTATTGTTAGTTGCATATGATTAACTTCATTATTTTATCCTTCTCTCCTTCGTGGAAAAAAATGTCGAAACGGTTTTTTTCCTGGCGTAAGTGGTAAGCGTCGTAGCAGTTGTGTTGGTAGCAAGTATTGTTGTGGTGGTGTTGGTAGAAAGCGTCATTGCGGTGGTGTTGGTCGCAGCGGTGATAGTATTTTTGTAGGCTGTTATTCTTTTTCTGACTGTTCTAATTCGCTGTCAGAACTGGAAAGGAAACTCAATTCTTCGTTTAATCTTAAAACGTCTTCTTGGGACATCTTCTTGACTGAGACGGTAAGGAATGTGGTTTTTATAACAAGGATGGATTGACATAGGCGGATTTGAGGTCTTTAATGTGTGCTTTTAGGGTTCGATTATTTGGTGTGTCTCGTAACTGAAAAATTACTTTTGAACATACTTTACTAATGGTGTATGGACCAGAAAATTTTGGTGCTAGTTTAGCGTTGAAATTCTTGGCTGCGTTGGAAAGGTTGTAATCTTTCTTCGTAACTTTGTCGTTAATTGTCGGTCTCCAGTCTCTGTGCCAAAGATTGTAGTAACGTCTTTGTGTTGTGAAAGCCCTCGCCAGGTTTGTCTTTACTAGGTCAAACGTTTCTTTATGCTTGTTCTATGTAATGTTTCTTGCTGGTAATTGACTGTCGGTCGTGTTTTCTAAAACTTTACTTGGGATTTCTAGTTCGTGTCCAAAATTTAGGAAAGCCGGCGTAAATCCTGTGGAGTCGTGTTTTGCGGAGTTGTAGGCAAAAACTAGTTCTGGTAAGTTTGCGTCCCATTTTTTGTGATTGTTTTTATTACTTTGTTCGTACGTTCTACTGGATTGTTTTGTGGGGGATGTCTTTTTTAGAGATGTGAAATTCTGTCAATAGTTTTTTAAGTTCTCTGTTTTCGTAAATTCTTGCGTTGTTTGATACTAGTTCTTTGGGATAGCCGAATCTCATTTTGATTTTATCTTTCAGGTTTTGGCATATTGAATTTGCTGTTGTTCTCCGGACGATAATAGCTTCTATCCATTTTGAGAAGGTGTCTTGGAACAATACTATGTAGTTATTCCCTTTGCAGTTGAGTTGAGTGCATAAGACCTGGGGTTTGCCTCTGTTCTACTTTATATTGTTGACAGTTTTTGCAGTTTATAACAAAGGTTGCGGTATCCTTAAACATGCCTGGCTAATATTACTTCCTGGCTAGTCGAGTCATTGTTTTTGCTATTCCTAAATGATCTGCTGTGGCTTGTCCGTGGTTTTATGCTATTACCTGTTGTCTTTTGTTGCTTGGTATGCAGAGTTTCCATGGGTTTGATAGTTCTGTTTCTTTAAGATCGTACTTGTCCCAGAAATGCCTGTAAAGTCGGTTATCCCTGGTAGTGTAATCTGAAAGCGATTTATGGTTGTTCTGTGAAGATGTGACAAGAGCTTAGGTTACCACTTAAGCTCTTGTCACATCTTCGCCACACCATCCTGGATCACTAAGCCACGGGGATGGAAGTGCCTCGAAGTCAATACCTTCGTGGGAGAGATTCACGGGAAAAGAAAACCTACAAAGTCAATACCTTTGCAGGTAAGGGTCGGGACTTCGGGAAGCCTACAGAGTCAATACCTCTGCAGGAGCAGGAGAGGAGAGTCTTGCTAAGTCAATACCTTAGTTCGACTGACGAGAATTAAATTTGTAGTTCTTTATATACTTGTTTCTGCTTGGCAAAAACGGCTGCATGCTGAACCATAGGCGTCCCTAAAACGGTGTTACTGGGGAACATCGTTACACATGTATATTTTTATGTTGTATCAAATTTATACAGTTTAATATTTAGAAAACAACTTTTTATAAAAGTTTTTGGTACGTGCTTTCAGTAATATCCGAATCACATTCACATTATCGCACCTTTTTCATGTACAAATACGTATTCTGAATAATTTTTTTAGGAACAAGGATACTCTGATGCAGAACATGCGCAAGGGATTGAATTGGAGTTGATGCAGGCGTTGGCGAGAGAGGCAAGACTGAAAGTTAGGTTACAAGAATTGGTGGCGACTTTGGAACAGGTTACAAAGAATGCCGAGGCGAGATTATTGGAGGGAAGAGAAATAGTACAAGATTTAAATCACACTAATAGGTACGTAAAACTAAAATTAGATTTTTGATAAAGATATACGCAAATATAAAGTTTTGTTTAATTTATTTTGCTGCGACCTTGGGCACTCACAGAAATTAATTCACCTAACCTGAATAAGTTAATTATTTTTTATTTATGGACAATGATCTGTAAATTCATGTGGACAATATTATGTTGTCTAGAGGTCGAACTTTCCACTGTTGATACTCATCTAACCTCAAAAAGATTGATAATTACGCGTTGGCACATAGTTTTGTAAGCTGCTGCCATTTCTGTCTTGATTTTGTGCTTCCATTGCTCCATATTCCTCGGATGGTTTTGGTACAACTTTTCTTTTAAAAAATAGTCGAGCGGACTGAGATCGGGACTCCTTGGAAGCCAGTTAATGATGCAAATCAATTTTCTGATGGTATCATCTTTTGAAATAAATTTTACACTATACAAATGTTGAGCAGTAGGCAAAAAGCACGAAGCATACTCTGGTACGCTTCCATTGCTACTGACACTTCACGAACGAGTGAATCACACATTTACAATGACAGCACAGATATAAAAGCCATTTACCATTAGATACCATGTACAATAAATATTTGAAATTTATATACCCTTTTATAGTAATGGGTCACTTGAAATAGTTCACAGACAAATCCGAAGAATTAGTCTGAAAAGGTGACTTGTCTAAACACACTTCAAAAGTGGAAAGTGTATTGCGCAAGCGCGAAATTAAATTAAATAAGTTGGCTGAATATCTTACCAAGGCAAAATATAGTTTAAAAAAGAAGAAACTACAAACGACTACTGAATTTTATGTTTTAATGGTGTTTTCGAATTTTCATGAAAAATTGACTAAAAAATCTAAAAGTTTGAAATTATTTTACAAATGATTTGTCTAAAAAATTAAAACAAATGCAAATATTGTTCTCAAAGTGTTTTTGAAAATGCATCCAGGATGGAGAAACATTTAACTGTATCTGATATGTCCAAGGTCGACTACTTTTCTGGACATGTCCGTGGGACTAGTCCAAAAATTACTTTTCATGAAAAGTCCCATCACTACTATATTACACTTCCCCAATAAATTAACGCACCTTCAAAAAATAACAAAAAGTTTAAAGTAAATATTTGTCAAAACCACTTGTCTGATTTGGACGATTTTTTTTTAAATGAAAGGTTGTCTCTTCCACAACGTCGGTGTGCTAACTGTGTTTGTATAAAACCCTCTTTTTTATTATAACGTGATTTTTTCATAAAAGTTGTAACACCCTGTAGAGTGCAACAGTTACATTACCAAGTTAGAATTGATCTCATAATGTAGCCTTATCTTTTCTTAACAATTACTCCATTATCTTTGTCATTATTCGAGAAACATTATTTTATAACATAACATGATTTTATTAAAAATTAATATCAAAATTTAACAATGAAAACACGAAACATAATGTAACGAAATAAGTATCAGTAGCGAGTATTTCCGCCTCTGGCACGAATAACTTCTTGACAACGGTGGCCCATACTTAAAATAAGAGACCTTATGTCATTTTGGTCCAATTCTTCCCATATTTAAATCAGTCTCTGCCGTATATCTTCCAGAGAGTTCAGATTACGTTCCTCTTGTAATCTCCTCCCAAGAGTATCTCAGAGATTTTCTATCGGATTTAAATCCAGGCTCCGAGCTGGCCATGCCATGGTAGCGATACCGACTTCCTCTAGATAATTTCTCACAACTCTAGCAACATGAGGCCTGGCATTATCTTGCATCAACAAAAATCCTTGCCCTATATATGTTCGTCTAAAATCTCCAATATGTACCTGTCAGCTGTAAGGCTTCCATTTAAGATTACAAGTTATGTGCGACCAGTCAAAGAAATGCCTCCCCAGACCATCAGAGATCCTCCTCCAAATAATGTTGTATGTGAGAAATTACACTGAGCATACCGTTCATTAGGGCGTCGGTATGCGCGCATACGCCTGTCATTGTTATACAGATAAAATTGAGACTCATCAGTAAATAATACCTGTTGCCATTCAGCCTCTAACCAGTTACGATGCTCTCTGGCAAAATTTAGCCTTGCTCTGCGATGAACTCTAGTTAGAACTGGACCTCGAGCAGCTATTCTAGGCCTCAAATTATGTTCCCTTAGTCGCTGACGAACAGTTTCTGTACAAACTTCTAAACCATTAGTATCCCGAAGCTGGGTTTGAAGGGTCCGAGCTGTTACAAAACGTTGTCTTAATGCTGACAGTCTTAAAAATCGATCCTGAATCGGAGTAGTTACTCGGTTTCTTCCTTGTCCCGGCCTACGACCATGATTTCCAGTCTCTCTATATCTTTGTATAACTCGTGAAACGGTTGTGTGGGTTACGTCAAATCGTTCACCAATTCTTCGGTAACTCCAACCCTCTTCAAACAATAGTAAAGCTTGAGCATATTCTTCGCGAGTATGATTTCGTGGCATATTGTTTAATCATTTTTTTTGCAAAAAATGGCGAATGGACTAAATACTGACAATACGCATCTGTATTTGACAATTACTGGTTTTTCCATAGCATGCTATTTACTTTAGTGCTTATAATGCTAATGTAAATGAATAAAGTCATGTTAAGTTATAAAATTGATTTTCTCGTGTAATAGGAAACATAATGGAGTAAATAAAAAATGAAATTGTTAAGAGAAGATAAGGGTAAATTGTGATATCAATGCGAATTTGGTAATGTAACTATTGCACTCTACAGGGTGTTACAACTTTTACAAAAAAATCATGCTATAATTGCTACACCCTGTATTAATAAAAAAGAGGATTTTATGCAAACACAGTTAGCAAACCGACGTTGTGGAAGAGGCAACCTGTCATTTAAAAAAAAATCGTCCAAAACAGAGTGGGTTAAATACTACGGCAACTCGGTTCGCGTTGCGGTATGTTGAGTATCTATTTAAAGCGTTTAAAGCATTTAAATACATTTCGAGCGTCAGGCAAATTATGTGAATTAGAAGTCCTTAGTAGACAAAAGTTAACTATATTTTATGAAATGTAGCAAAATATCGTCTAAAGATAACACCACAATTAGAGAAATATGTACGAAGTTGCCACGAATATTACCAAAAGAAAGTATAGATCTGATCAGGTCTAGTTTAAGAGGTTTTTTCGCGTCAGTGAAAACTATTACCCATGATGCCTTAAACCCGGAAAGAATCGGGCGCCAGTTTTGATGGTTGCTACACAGTCTTAGAACAAGGTTAACACAGGTTAAAGATATAGAATATTCTAGAATTTAAAATATTCTTGACTCAAATTTCAGTAATGATTGTCTTATTAACCGAAACTAAAAAAAAAAATATTTGTGGTTGTCTTTCAGTTTTTTCTTTAACGGGCGTAGCACATTTTTGATATGAATAACTTTCTTACCACTGAAAATATTAATTGTTAGTAGTCTTAAACCATCCCTTATAAATGGGAATGCAATTGTATTGTCCTACATTCAATGCAAATCTTCAAACCTGCATTGCATCACATTATACTGTAATATACACATTTACAATGATTTAATTACGACGGGATATCAACAAAGAATCTTTCTACAACAATTTAAAATAAACCTTAAAATTTATAGTGATTTTCGTTAACTCAAATCATATTGCGAATAAAATTATCATTTTTTCAAAATTTACTACATAAACTATGTATTTCAGTCATGTTTCAATGTGGTTTCACAACCTATTGACTTTGTCACATTTAATATATTATATCCACAAACACTACACATTCAATAGCAAGACATTTAGACGCTAGGTGTATCTAAATCACTTCAGTGACAGTTTGAACTATTTCAATATTTAATAACTTTGTATTGGCTTGAATTGTTAGTCGCGTTTGGAAATGATTTTCCCATGAATGGAAATGGAGAGACCCTGGGATTACTATTTAAATAGAAATGATACAATATACAAAGTGGTGTTAAGGATGAGAAATGAGTAATTGTTAAATTTGTTTGTAATAATAATTTTAAAAGAAATTAAAAAAAAAGACAAAGTAATTTTATCTTCAGTTACATCTTATTGGATAGTCATGGAGTCAATATATTAAGAAGCGAAAATCTTCTATACAAAAAATTAAAATTGAACAAAAAACAAACAATTAAGGGTGATGACATAATAAAAATTTTACTTACCATGATATATCTATTACAGATCAGCTACATTGGTCAACATAAAAGTAGTAAAGTAGATATACTAGGCGGTTTCTAATCTAGTCATGCGCAGTCTAACCAGCAAATCTCCACAAGACATTTTAAGGTTCATTCTGACAATTTTTGTCTCTTGTGACAGCCATCGTTCACGTGAACGAAGACATTTTGTGAAAAACCATCTAACGTAAGCGTCATTTTGTGAAAATTCATCTAACATTAACGTCATTTTGTGAAAATTTATCTAACCTAAACGTTATTTTTGAAAAGTCATCTAACCTAATGCTGAAGAAGCCTCGGGAGACATGAAGAACTCTCTCTAAAAAGCTCCATGGGGGGAGTGAGGTCTCTGGAAACGAATAAGATGGCGGTCATCGTTTACCTGAACAAGTATGGATTAACGTTAAAAAGAAAAATCATGCGCAATGTCAAAAGGACCTAAGTCTGTATCTCGGCTATTATTAGGCCGATTTAAACGGGGAAAACGGAGGAGTTAGGGAAATTGAAAACACGTGTGCAACGTCAAAAGGACCTAAGTGTATACCTCGGCTATTATTTATCAGATTCAAACGAAAAGTGGTTTTGACAAATATTTACTTTAAACTTTTTGTTATTTTTCGATGGTGCGTTAATTTATTGGGGAAGTGTATAATTTTATCATATTACATCAGTTTTGCTGCTTTAGGAAAACTTTCAAAAATGTTAATCCTAATTAGTCCATTATAAATATACATTAGGGATACATTTATAATTTTAACGTTTAATTAATTACAATATTTTTTTTTAATTCTTGCAGTATATTAGCCGACACCGTAGACAGAAATAATAAAAAATATCAAGCCAAATTTAAGAAAATGGAGCAACAGATGTTCTTGTTAGTAGAAAAGCACAACGTACAGGTAAGATTTTTTCAGTTTATAAATTTCAGTGAACTCGTATTTTATTGTTCATTGTTAATTTTAAATTATAGTTACATTTTGCCTATTTATTATTCTCAAGTACCGTCAACCGGGGTAAAGTCGATCAAAAATAAAAAAAAATTGATATAGCGCCTAAACTGCTTGATTTTTGTGCAAAAATAAATATAATTGTATCATCATTGTTATTTAAGATGCTGTGGTGAAGCATTTTTGGCCAATAACCGTTTTTACCTCATGATGTGGGGTAAAGTCGATCACCCATTTAAAATAACGTTAAATAGACTTTAAAAGATATTTAAAAGTAAGCATTATTTATCAATTTAAAAAAAATACACAAAAATAGGCCTTTATTCAATAAAAATTTTAGAGTTTTAAATAGAGAAGTAACCTTTTATGCCTTAAGACTCATTCTACCATTTTAATTTTGTGGCACAATATACCTAACATCAATGGGTTATTGTCATCTAGCGCCTGCAGCCTTCCATATTTTATAGTAACCTTATCATGGATATGATCATTAAGTGTCGAATATGGTACCCCGTACTGCACAGAAGCGGCCCGCATTAACATCTGATTTTGTTTTACAGCCGCTATTGTTCTGTGTAAATAAATGTCATCATAATTTTTATCATTTTTGTAATTTTGAGGCACTAGAACAAAAAAATAAATTTTACAATAAGTACGTAGGTAAGTATATTTAAAAGCACGCCCCAATTCCGTTCCAAAACTTTTATCGCTGTTTTGTCACAAAATAATCGACTTTTCCTCATTGTTTGCTGTTTTTTGCATTGAGTTCTACCTCCAATACTATATGGATTACCTAAAATTCACAAATATAATGTACCACTAAGATCATAATCAAGTGTCATAGGATTACCAACTTCCTGAACAAATATCTAGAGCAGCGATACTCAACCTTTTTTCCTTCGGGCCACATTCGTATATGTGCTATGTTAGACGGGCCGCAATATTTTTGGATGATGACCTTTTTTTTTGGAACATCTATCTAAAATTAGTTAGTGGGGACCTCTAATAAATAAAACACAAAACATAAATATATCCCGTTGTGCTACTGCAAAAACAAGATAACTCACATTTTTAGAGTTTCGATAAAACACTATTCAAACGTTTAAAACTGAATAAAAAATCAGTAAAAGCTTCAAACCGTTTATTAACTTCAATGAAGAAGGTATTGAAAACATTGTTCACAAAGTATAAACTAATAATCTATCAATAATTGGTAAAAAGAGAAAGAAAAAACGTCACTTAGCTTATTTTAGCCCTACATATAAAACATAATTCAATGTATGTGTCACTATCTTCAGTCGAAGTTTCAGTAACATTATTGGATACAGGTAGATTGTGATAATAATGGTGAAATTTATCAGGTGTATCTGATTTTGCAAAATTTTAGTAAATCTTTCTTCTTGCACTTTTTTAGTATTTTCAAAACTTTGTTTCATCCTTTCATGCATCCCTCTCAATAAATACTGTGCGAGCTTGGCATATAAAGCCGAATTCCCCACCCTCGCCCATTGATAAATTAAATCTATTTTTTTGGTGGAATGTATTTAGGATAGCTGAATCTTTCGATACGTTGGCTATTAGAAAGTATGGTTAAAATTCATATTCGCCTGTTACCACTAATACTTTTATTCACGAATTTTCACATAAAGATTCGCTCGTTACGGCTTGACGAATCACTCGTTACAGCTTGACCAATCACTCGTTCACCACGGAGATTCGAACATCACGTGATATTATCTGGTGGTTGTTTAAGGTTAGCTGTATCGCGGAAAGAAAGGGTGACGTAATCATCTCGTGAATTTCGGAACAATCGAGAAATGCCAGAGACGGCTCTAGTCATAACAAAACAAATGGCGTGTGCATAATGTAATACTTTAACAAACACATCCAACAAAAATAAGTAGCGGCAAACCACTCCCGAAATACTGGTACGTTTTCACTGGAAATCACCGAAATCACTACACATTTTCTCGAAAATTCCAAAATCATCATCTAAAATCATGGTCGAAATCAATTCGTCGCTCACAACCCGAAATGGCGAGAAAAAAAGATCATTGTATAAAATTAAGGTGGATTTTCAGTAAAATTACCTAAATTGCATAAAAAATTTTTATGTGATTTCCGAAATACAGGTACGTTTTGACCTTATTGGTTTCCCCTTGGTTCTGGCCTTTATCTAGTTTTGGCCAGAACACTATTAAGAATCGAAATAAATATATTTAACAAAAATAAGTCATATGCCTATAATCTGATTTTGGTAGACACATTTATCAATTGAACACAATGTTATGATTATGTTTTGGTATAAATGCCACTCCATCTTATTTGTCCATATTGTTAATGTATTAAAATGGAGTTAGTTTTTATTGGCTATCTGTTAATCATGAATATAGACTTCTTTCACACTTCTAGAAAATGTACTTACTTAACTCGAAAATTCTAAAAGTGGAGCTATCTTGTTTTTGCAGTAACCTCACAAAATTTCAAAAAATTAGCATGCCATTTAGCGCTGCGACCAATAATAGTGAAGCGGGCCACAAAAAAAGCTTGGAGGGCCGCAGGTTGAGTATGGCTGATCTAGAGGAAATTTTACAAACACACATGGGCAAGATAAAAACCTACGTGCGGGATTCTACGCACTTTATCGAACACTTAAAGAGTATCATTCTAGAGCCTAACGACATCCTAGTCGACTTTGACATCATCTCTTTATTCACAAATGTGCCACTCGAAGAAGTAGTCAGCTACATAGGAGACTTTTTACCAGAGCTCATCAACCTTTTCTGACACTCACAATATCATTATTTTCAGTGAAATCAAACATTCTATGAAAAAATTGCCAGAGTCGCCATGGGCAGCCCACTCAATCCAGTTGTGGACAATTTTTTCATAATTAAACATGAAATATTATTTGTTGTAAAATTATTTTAACAGTGCGTTAACATTAATTCTAACGTCGCCTTAGCCTGACAGCTTCTTTATCCGTTACCGTGGCGGTCAGTACATGACAATTCTCCGCCGTGATTCCTGGATGCCGCACTCCCGGGGCTGGTAACAACTGCTTGATATGCCTACAAAACAGCGCCACCATCAGACTGTATTTCATAGTGTAGTCGACTATGCCGGTGCAGCACCGTGCCGAACTCCCATTTCCGCTTCGGGTTGGAGAAGGTTCTGCTGAGTGGGTTCTGACCGATGGGGGAGCGTTGTCGCTGTTGGAGGTGATGAACGACTGAACATGACTTGCATCTTAGTTCTAACATCCCTTTGGAACATTCATTTTTAAGGAGGCTGACTGTTCTGGCTCGGTGTGCACCTGAGTCTTATCCGTTAAGTTACCATCGCGCGAAGCGATTTCTTTATCGTTTGTTAGCGTTCGGCCTGGCCGTTTGTAGCTGGGTGGTACGGAGCGGATGTCAAGTGCGTAACACCACAGCTTGAAAGGTAGTTTGTTAAGTTGGGTGGAAAGTTCTAAAGACTGTATTACTCTTACGTCTGCAAGTTCCACGTTTACTCCTTTCATCCAACTCCTGCCGAATATTGGGTCGACGTTTTGATTTATAATGTATAATTTACCGTTGAAAATCTGATTTTTTTTGAGTGCATTCAACGTACGTTATTCCTGAAGAATTGATTATTTCGCCAGTATAGGTTCTTAATTTCATTTCAGTTTTGAATATTTTGTTTGCTATGTTTAGCTTTTTGTATTATTTTAGTTACATTGGCGATAAGGTCGCTCTTGTGTCGAATTCCATGCAAACATTTTTGTTCTCTATTTTAACTGTTATGGTACCAATGTTACTGCTGTTGTCATCTAATTGATTAGCTTTTTTGTTTTTGTAAGCATATTCGCGCCAGATGTCCAGTCTTCTTGCATTTTAAGCAGGCACCACATGCATTGGACCTGTGGCCGATTTTGCAGCATCGGAAACATCTTCCTTACAAGTCTTTTATTGTCATCTGAGGTGATAATGAAGCGAATGGCTGTATACTTGGTCGTCAGGATGTAGAACGTGGATAGTTGAATTTCTGTGCTGAGCTCGAAATTTTGTTTACTGTGTCAGAATGTTTAAGTTTTCGGTTATTTTAATATATTCTGATTTTCCCATTTCTATCGACGTAGCTATATTGTAAATTGTGATGTATCTTGTTCTTGAATAATTTTTGTTCGTATATCGTCCTTTAATCCACGAATAAATTGTAGGGATAGGAAACTTTCTAAGGTAGATTTTTGAAAATTTTGGCACTTGAATTCGCAGTTCAATGAAAGTTTCTTTAACTCTGAAACGTATGTTGCTACTGTTTTATCTTCGTCTTGTAAACGTGTGATAAATTTGTGTTGTAACGCCCATATTCTAGGTTTTGGATCTACGTAGTCGTCTAGTACTTTCATTAGTTTTTCAAAACTCATATCCCAGATAGCACAAAGTCGTCTTAAAGACGTCTTTAAGACGTCTAGCATAAGACATTCGAGACGTCTTTAAGACGTCTGGTATTTCCTGAAAGACGGCTTTAAGACGTCTTAGAAGACGTCTGATGTTACAAAAAGCGACGTCTTTAAGACGTCTTATTAATGGCTGATATTGGTCTGTAGAGCTTAAAATAAGCCATAAATAAGACGTCTTTAAGACGTCTTTAAGACGTCTTTAAGACATTAATAGCTTGAAATGGTCTTGTGAAGCCTTAAATAAGACATCAATAAGACGTCTTTAAGACGGCTTATTAATAGCTTATAATGGTCTTGTGAAACCTTGAATAAGACATCAATAAGACGTCTTTAAGACGACTTATTAATAGCTTATAATGGTCTTATGAAGCCTTAAATAAGCCATAAATAAGACGTCTTTAAGACGTCTTATTAATGGCTTATATGTCTTGTGAAGCTTTAAATAAGACGTCTCATAAATGGCTTATAATGGTCTGGTTAAACTTAAATAAGCCATAAATAACACGTTCATTATTTTTATTCTGCTAATTCTATAACCTGTTTATAATAATATAAAATAATTTAAAAATGGGTATCATCGTGCATCTTGGTTATTAAAATTAGTAGAATAGCCTTGCAGGTTATAAAGAATGCAAAAAATAGAATTCAAACTATTTATTGATAAAATATCTATTAATCACAGGTCACTAAGAGTTATTTTCTTTGTAGCTCATTCGATCACTCCTCTTTAGCCATAACTGGATTGATTTTTTCTTTCGTTTTGATTTGAAGTTGCCTTTGTATATTCCAGGAACGTGATACATCGGTAACAGAAACTACACTATTCTTCCTTCTCTGGTTTTAAACCCATATTGTTTAAGTAAAAAGAGACCAAACACAAATGCACAAAGTAGCCCAAACATACTTTTGGCAGCTATAATCGCGTACACAATAGAATAATCAATAATTCACAATAAGCGTTGGCTTGAATGTAGTGTTAAGTCAAACTTCACTTCATTTGATTCTTCTTTTAAATTTGAAATATGTAAACCGTGCAAGTTTCCGTCCGACTGAAAGACGTTTGTAAGACGTCTTAAAGACGTCTTTGAGCTTTCACATTAATATATGGATTTGGAAAGACGTCTTTAAGACGTCTTAAAAACGTCTTTGAGCTCTCACATTAATACGTCTGAATTAAGGCTTTTGACAGACGTCTTATAAGACGTCTTAATAACGTCCTAGGACATTGAGACCAAACCAAGACACAAAAAAGACGTCTTTCAGACGTCGTGTGCTATCTGGGATTAACCGGATTAATGGCACAAATCATGTAATATCTCTTGCAGAGATGGTGGTAGGGCAGCATATACCCTTTTATTTTAGCGTCTTTGATCTTATCCAGGAGGAAAAATACAGTCTTTTCGTAAAATTTCTGAATGTTTCTGTTTCTTGAAAAGGCTGGAAGTTAATTTTTGGGCCTCGCTCTTGCTGTATAGGTATATTAGTCTGTGACTGTGATGTGGATAGTTGTATAGGTGGACTATTTCCATTCTGTAAAATAATTAGTTTCGTTATTATGATTGTACATCGTTCTTCAAAATTGGGCCTGGTTTCGATTTCTTGGTTAAGATGTTCTTCCGGGATGTTCAATGCTATGCTGTGTTGTATATCTTGTAATTTCTGTAATGTTTCTTGAAGTCCTGTTTGGGTTTCTTTATTGTAAAATTATTTTAACAGTGAGTTAACAGTAATTCTAATGTCGCGTCAGCCTGACAGTTTCTTTATCCGTTACCGTGGCGCTCAGTACATGACAAAAGATAAATAAAAAGTGATCTTTCAAAATAAATTGATTAAAATTCTTTTTCAAACACATGATATTATATATTTGGAAGCACAAAAACGTAGATACAATACATGGATTCACTAATCGAAATACAAAACACTATTATTCTCTATATTATCTAATATCTATCTTAAAACAATGAAAAAAATTCCAAAAATTCACAAGACTAACAAATTAGCCTATTTACAAACCGTGGGAAAATTAATTTGATACACCTGAATATTCCACATGAGCATTCTGCCACTACCCGAAGAGTTCCAAGTAGGACGAACATATAAACTTTGTAAGATAGGACGTTTCAGCTAAGCACGGGAATATTCATTTTCTACTCGTAACGTCACTATACAGACCAGCATTTATTTTTCTATCCTGGCACACTTCAATATGAATATTTTATATTCCCTCGGTGGGGATTTCTTCAGTCCCTTGAAGCCTAAATTCTATCTAACATCGTTATTTTCTTTTAGGTTCACAACCTGCAACAAAGGATAGCTACACTAGAAACGCCGCCAACAAATAGTTCGGAGAATTCCATAAATTCTGTAGCAGTTTAGCCAATGACGTTATAACTTTTCTTGACGAGTTATACAATGCATTTGAGTTGATGTCTTTTCTTATTTTAAGGAAAGTATAGCCAAGCTTGTGTACCGATTCTAGTTTTGAATTTGAAGTTGGTATTGTGTAAGATTGTTTAAATGAAAGTATATAAATAATTTGCTATTCCAATTCGCAATTTTGCTTGTTATTTTTACCAGACATTACTATCAATAGGTTTAGATGGTTTTTAAAAAAAATTATTTTAATATAAAAGTATTTTTTTGTGAATAATTTAATTATTCCAAGTTTAATAACGAAAATAAGAAATAATCTGTTTTCTGAGTTAATTATTTTTTTATTTGCGATAATTTTCAAGTTACTTTTAAATTTCAAAATTAAAATAACAAAAGTGGTATTCGATAATTATTATTGATGTCTGGTGAAAAACAATGACAATGATTATTAATAGTGGTTTATTTCATATTATAAAAAAGCGTGACTGTTCCAAAATTTAATTATTATTTTAGTTTTCACTGTAGAATCTGTGTGAGGGAACAAAATGATGCCAGGTAAGTGTTTAAGGCACTTAAAATATAACACGAAAATATGAAATCAAGTCAAATTGTAGTGCTTAAAAATCTAAAACCCTTTTAAGCACCTCAGTTTTGCTTAAATATCATAAATTTTATGTTTCGTATCGTGCTTCCCATTACCGAAACAAATATTGCATTAATTATTGTTGTGAAAAGATAGTTTTAACGAGCATTTCGATGCCAGTTGAACACTATACCTTCTCTATGGCTAGAATATACACGGCTACCGATTTTTAATAATTTTTAATTTATATATTTTAAATGACAGCTCTCTTCTATATAATTATTTAATGTTTAACATTTCATGACTTACATGATTTTATTTAAATAATTATGAAATGACTACTTTACATAATTGAAGCCCTTGGTGTAAAAAGGATGCACGCTACAATTTGTCATGAAGTGACTATTTTAGCTCAAAACGTCTATTAATAAGGATACCTAGCCACATACAAATTATTTTACCTCATTTCGGATTAAAGGCACTAATTTTCATATTTATATTTAATTATTTTTTTTTTGTATTTATAACAAATTTAAAACTCAATTTTCTCATACCTTGCAACGTAGCAAGTATCCTCATTATCAAATAAGGAATAGTACATCATTTCTTAATCAACGATAGTTGGGAAAGTGTAATTTTGTATTATAGTCGTAGAAAAATAAATAACCAACGGGTTAGATTCATAAAATTTGACACAAGATATTCTAATCTAATAAGCACGTCTCAAATGTTTAATAGTTCATGTATCTTGGTACCTATATCAAATTTAAAAAATTATTTAAAGACGTTTTTGATTTGTGGCAAATTTTGAATTTTGATTTAAAACTTTTAACACCCTGTACCACGGTAGAGTCCGATTACAATTAGAAGAACACCGCTACGTCATAACCATTACTTCGAATTTTGAATACATATTAGGGGAATGTCCCGTACCTTGAACCACCTTTTTTTCAATTAAGTGTATAGGTACCCAAATCTATTGGCAGTATATCTGTCAATGAAACAGGCATAGATTAAGAGCTACCACGGCATGACATTAACTGTGTGAAAAGTAAAATATTAAGTGACAACGTAGTAAAATTAGTTATTTTTTATTTTCTTAAAATGGCTCAAGGTACACAACCGGTGCTGTACCTATAGCCACTAGGATATGTACCTTGGTTCAGTTCTAAAATGTAGTTGTACTAATTGTCAATAACGTGGAAAGTAGGGTATAAGTACCTCTTTTATGGTAAATAAAAAAAGAAAACCAAAAATACTGAACGCATTAAATTAAAATATCAGTAACAAAGCTGATGCCAGAACAGAAACATACAATTCATGAAAGATACCAAATACATTCTTTGAAATCAAATTAACAAAAATTATTCTACATCGTAGGTTGAAAAGTCTATGCCAAAAGTGGAACATGTTTTTCTGTCTTTCTGAAAATCCACTGCACTCAGGAACCATCACAACATTACCTTTTGAGATATCATACACTTCGTCTTTTTCTTTGACGAACTTGTAGGTGGTTTTAAATCTTTTCAGGTATTTGACCTTCACATGGTCTTGAACTTCGATTTCTACAATTTCCGCTACACAGTAATGCATTTTCTTTTTTCTGCAAGTCTGGTCAAACAATATTTATTTACCGCTATCTCTCCACTATCCAGTTCTGCCGAGGCTTGCGGAGATTTATAGAAGTCATCGAGGGTCAAATCCAAGTCTGAGATTGACTGAGATGAGTATTCTGAATCTGATGATGATTCATTCACCTCTGTTTTTACAGTCTTCACAGCTTGTTTCTTTATACGCTTTGCTTCTTTTGCCATCTTTTCTGAATAAATTCGCTCAAGTTCTGCTTTTTCTGGTGTGTCAGTCAGAATGCGACAAGTCGCTTTTTTTCGATTTCTTTGATATTTCCTAGGAGCCGCTTTAGGGAGTATTTTTTATAGGGTCCAAAAACACATCTGTCTAACGGCTGCATTTTGTGGCTCGTATGCGATGGTAAAGTGAGCAAGACGATTCCGTTAGATTTTGCTAGTGACACAGCTTCAACTGAGATGTGGCTGTCATGGTTGTCCAATATAAGCATTTTTTTATTTTCTTTAGTGGAGTTAACATGACGTATAAAATGTTTCATCCAGTCAACAAACTTCTCTCACTTGGAATAGCGCCTGGTGGAGCACCATGCATCATTATGTTTTCCTTAAAGTTCACACGAGGAAATATGAACATTGGAGGGACACTGTTCCCAATAGCATTTATACATGCAATCATAGTGACATTTTGACCCCTCTCGCCTGATGTCGCGCTTCCCTCTTGCTTTTCGCCTTTGACTGCTATAACTTTCCCTGGAATATGGACGGTGCTGTTGGATGTTTCATCCATATTGTAGCTCGCATCGAATTTATATTTTTCCATCACACTTTTTAGTTTAGAAAAAAAAAAAAATGTTGACATTGTGTCTGTTAAAACTGATGGCTCTAGATAAGCTAGTAGCTTCGGGTTTGCGTAAACTTAAATTGGGATGCCTTCTCATGAAATTTCTAAACCAATGCTTTCCTGCTCTTTTATTTTCTTTCCATGATGCTGGTAATACTTTGTGGTTTGCAGATGCAAATTAATATGCTAATGTTCTTAGCTGATGTATATGTAAGCCAACAAGATATTTGCATAAATCATCTTCCTCATGGCGTTCAAAAATCTTTTTAACTGCACATTTTTCGTAAGACTGGTAACTCCCTTCTTCATTAGTTTCTTGGCTCATGTAACGCTTAAGAGTAGCCCTTGACACCCTGAATTGTTCGGCAGCAGAACGTTGAGAAACGCCATTTAAGACAGCATTTCTGGCTTGCTGTAAGTTCTCCAGCAAAGGCTTAGTTCGTTTCTTCCCTTCTTTACTACGTGGCATCTGCAACAATAGGTATCGCTTTTTGTAGACTTGAAAAAAATCACACCATAATAAAAAAAATACCTATATCGACTTTGGCGGTTCAGGGTACAATGGCGTTATCGTACCTTGAGCCGGCCCAAGGTATGAGACTGCTCCGCGGTTCAAGGTACGCAGCCTAACACTAACGACTAAGTATAAATTCACATAACCTATGTTATAAACGTTATAAAAATGACACAGATTATGTACAAAACAGATAACTATCTAAAACAAGTAGCAATTCAATAATAAGATCTGGGGGTGGGTGGCTCAGTGGTAGAGTCTCTGCCTGTGGATCCAAGGGTCCCAGGTTCGAATCCCACCGTTGGCTGGGATTTTTTTATTTAATTATTCACTGTTGGGTTCTAATTAACAGTGCTGTTCCTGAAGTGGCGCTGGGAAACACACATGATTGAGAATTTAAAACACAAACTTGAGACTGGCATATTAGGTATATACACCTAGGCCATAAATAAAAAAAAATAATAAGATCCATAAAAAAGCTAAAATAACACGTAATACAAAATAAAAAATACTTACTTTTTCTTCTTTATTGAGACACCGTGCACTTTTCACCACTATTTGTTTTCGAATGGAAACCAATTAATTATGACAGATGACTGATGAGTGTTTACAAATGTTAGACGATTTTTTGCGCATGTTAAATTTATTTAACTCGAAAATAATTTTTTAAAAAAACAAAAATTTACTTTTCGAAGATTAGAGACTTTATGACTTTGTTCTACAACAATCTAAGCTGGAATGAATTTTTATAATATAATTTTAATGATAATAATAAATGCAAAGTTAACAGTTTGCGCCGTTTACGGTTTTATATTTTAATAGACTCGACGTTTCTTTTTATATAACTCGCATAACCGTTGTTATGATATTCGAATGGCTCAAGGTACCGAACGGCTCAAGGTACGGGACCTTCCCCTATCTATAATATCAATAAATAAAAAATAAGTAAGTTGTTATGTGTAAAACAATATTTCCTATATTCCTATAATATTATCACTCTACCAAACCCCCAATACGTGGCGTTAACCAATTAATTATTTTGCCAAATGATGACGTAGCTGTGTTCTTCTAATTGTAATCGGACCCTAATTAAATTCTTTAAGGGTTCATGCGCCTATATCAAAATTCATCAGTTAATGAGAGTTCTCTGTTGAAAAGCGTTGTCGATCGAATATACTAACTCCCTGTATAAGTGAATTAATCAAATAAAAAAAAAACAATATTTTAATCTATAATGTCTTATTCTATTTTTATAAGTAATTGTTTTTGTGTGATTATTCTTATTTGTATATATATGAAAAAAAAAAAAAAAAAAAATTAACCATTTATATATGTTAAAAATTATAGATTCTATAGTGAAAATAAATATGAATAATTAAAAAATACAGTCTCGTATAACAACAAAATGTGAATTGAAGTAGTGTCTAATATGTTAAGGTGTGTCTGCCTCGCTGTGATTAACTTAAACCCATATTAAAAATGGCAAAGATACGTATTATCAGGAGAATTATTTATTTACATTGAGAATCAATATAAAAACTACTAATAGTATTTGTTTTGTTACATTTGTTTTGTACAATAAACTTTTTTATGTCCACGACTGTTTTTTTATTTTGTTCCATCCAAGTTTGTCTTATTAATTTTTTTATGTATATAGTATTGGGTAGAAAATATCTACAGAGAAAAAAATACTATTAATAATATACTGTGTATGTCCTTGTGTGTTGGTATTAGTTTTAAAACATTTTAGTTAAGCTATGTTTTTGTAGAAATATTCATATCTTAGACTATAAGCATATTTTATTTATTTGAACATGGACCACTAAAATAACACATACTGAGGTATTTTCTCCCGTCCCGTGCCTTCAAACAAAGACATTTGTGTGTATTAGCCCAGTATAATTAATAATACTGTAGGCGATAGCTTGAGTCGGCTCCTTTGATGTCGGGTGGTCAGTTTTTATTGACAGATTCGCTTATTTCTACACTGAAATAAGTAACTTTAAAATATCTTGTCCCTTTGTCTGTTTGAATAAAATATCACACATTAAATTAAAGATGAAAACTAAGTCTAAATATAATAAAAACAATAAACTACCATTAAACCATTGACAATTAACATATGCCAGTTTGACGTTTTTACCGCTTATTTACGGACATGCGCAGAAAAATATGGAACCCTCATAAACAATGAACTGTCGCTACTGTATTATTACTTATACTGGGGTATTAGGCATTACAAATGAAATGGTTGCCCGTGGGTTATCATATGGCAACCCTGTGGGCTTGGTGCTTTGATCGGGTCAATGATACATATAGTTATATAGATTGATCATCCATGTTTTTCAAAATAAACAAAAGCTTGCCTTGAAGTAAAAAGTAGGTAATTATTTTTTTTACTATGTTTATAAAGACTACAAATTGGTTTCGAAACATACTTCTGCTAAACTGATCACTTGCGAGTAGTGATGTGTAAGTTGGGTAAATACCCAGTTGGTAGGTAAATAATTGGGGGTATTTACCCGGTATTTTTCCAAGAGATATTTACCTGCCCAAAAACAACCTAAAATAATTTAATGTTTGTTGGTTATGTTCTTAGACTAGGTAATAAAGAGAGGACTCATAACGTCGCTAAAAATCTTGTTCCATTCTGACACCAACGATATTCGACCAAAGGCGTAACATGTTGGAAATAAAACGAATTTGTATTTATGTTATTAGTACTTTATTGATCTTTTTAGGTATAAAGCAAGTTTAAATCGTAAAATTTAAAATAAATAAGTAACAATAAATAAAACACAAGAACAAAAAAATATATTGAAATAAACTGAATGAAATCGTTTACATAATGAAATGAGCGTTTTTTAAAATTCCGCAAAATAAAACATAATGATCTACATGTATTACAAAAAGATTTATTTTTAGTTAATAAAGAATGACACTACCCAGATGTACACTAATATCCAAAAGATGTTTTAAAAGCGTCTATATGACGTACATTGTTACAAAAGAAGACGTCTTTAGGACATCCAGTTTTGTACGTCTTTAAGACAAACCGTATTGGACGTGTTTAAGGCATATATTTATTTGATGGAAATTAGGTTTAAAAAATAAATGAATACTATATTTAATACTGTTTATTATACATTATTAAACTATTAAAACTAACACATGGAGTAAATATTATTTTACAGTGTTGGATAAAATAATTATAAAATAACTTCAAGTACTTGTTGCTATGAGAAACTATTCCCGGAAATCTAACTTTTTTTCCAGTTTTGTTCGATTTAAAAACATCTTTTATGGTATTAATTTTAGCCAAAGCGTCTGTAACTATTATCCCCGTGGCATATAATTTTGTTGAATTATTATTTTAAGGTGTTTTTCTAAAAAATAAGACATTATTAAAGTGAGTTTATGAAATTAGAAGGCAAATAATTGTAATCGGACCCTAACTAAATTCTTTAAGGGTTTATGCTGCTATATCAAAATTCATCAATTAATGAGAGTTCTCTGTTGAAAAGCGTTGTCGATCGAATATACTAACTCCCTGTATAAGTGAATTAATCAAATAAAAAAAATATATTTTAATCCATAATGTCTTATTCTATTTTTATAAGTAATTGTTTTTGTGTGATTATTCTTATTTGAA